AGAGCTGATTCTGGGTATCCACATCTACAGTTTATAGACTGGTCTGCCTAGGAGCATCGTTCAACACAGCCTTTGAGCAATGGCGATCAACTGAACGCCCAACTCAGACGTTTTTGGAAACTTCAGTCTGAATTTTCTGAAAAGCATAATGATATTATGGCAAGGTATTCCAGTAAGTTGTCATTTAGCCCTTAGCTATATTTAATTCAATTAATCTTTGTTATTAGTATGGGGTTTTTATATGACCAAGTCATCCACTGACCTAGACACGTCAGACTTCCCCACAGCTATTCGAACTGCATGACACATTCTGGACAGAAGCAGCTCTCAAGGCATGTAATGGAGGCACTTTTGTGGGAAATATCACTTAATTGTGGCTGATGCTGCTGGATTACTCGTACTACCTTGCTGCTGGCAGATGAGACACTGTAGTGGAAGTTTAGCTCTTCTATCTTAAGACAGCATGTTTTACAACTTGAATTTACAGAAAGAATTGCAGTAACGAAATAATCCAAATTCTGCTCTTTAGTCATGAGCGTGCAATAGCCATTCCAACCAACACGGCACAAAACTGAATTTTTCTGGGAGCAAAACATGGCTCAAAACACAAAAGGTTACATTTTAGAGTAGTACAGAATCTGTGTCACTAACAGCATAGAATAGCTAGCAAATAATTAGTTGAAAGCTTGTAAGCACAGACAGATCTTTTATGAACACATAGGAATCTCTTGACAAGGTCTCTCCACTTTTAATGCTGGTGTGCTAGTTAAAAAATGGATTCTAGAATGTAAAATTAAAGAAAAAACTCACTCCAGAAGCATTTTAAGAACAAATTTGTAATAAATTTTACTCACATAGATTTTACCTGTTGATTTTTTTTACTATGAACTTTACAAAATCTATTTTTATTTGATTCTTCCCTGCCTCAAACACATTAATTTCCTTCAGATGGCAAAAACAAGCTTCTGAAGTTCATCAGCATAATTTCTTAGCTGTTTGTCTACTTGGTGTCTTATCAATAGGATCACCTACTTCAAGTGTTAAAAGTCTCGCTTACATTATGCGTAAATGAGTGTTCCAGTTGGTGCATCTTAACTACCCTTAATTTCCTGTGGGCTTCGTACGCTTGCTGCGTGTTGTGTTCCATCACCTGGGGACAGCCAGCCTGTCTATTCTTAGCAGCAACACGTTAAACAGCACACGCAAGGAAAGACGCAAGAGCTCGTGAGCAAGGATATGATGTGAGTGAATAAACAGCTCTCACTGACTTGTCCTTTCTGGAAAAGTTGCTTGTTATTTCCATTTTCTCAAGGTTTACAGAGTTTCGCTAATGAAAGCTTGCAAAGCTTAGATGGGGGTTTTCGATCTGCAGCCTCACAGGCTGCCTTTAGCCTGCCAGAACAATTAATTCAACGTGTTTCTCAGGAAGCCTCAGGTTGTTCCCATCACACTTACACACCTTGAACTACAACACACAATCTTTCTCGAGTTCTATCTCGATATTTCTATCATCATTATTACCTGTTGTAATTATTGACATGTCCAATGCTGAACAAGCCTAGCAGCCGGTACATACACATTCCACCTTAACAACGCCTTATCACATCATCCGCTGTGCTCATTAGTACAAGGGCACAAACCCTCCTTCTGGATCAAAAGCAAACTACTGACTATAGACTCCAACTTGCCTGACCTCCTCATTCCAAGTGGCAAAATTTCTCATCAACTGGGCATCATAAGGACCACGTTTCTTTCTGTTTTGAGTTTGCTATGATTTTAATAGTCAAGTAGTAAAACTTTAGGCAATTGCCATCACAGTGATTTTCTTTTACAAGCAGAGGGATGGCACAAATGATGAGGGCCATTAGAAGATTTAGCACCTGCAAAGTTGCAATCAATATACCGACTATGACATATTGGTGCTTTAATATGGCATGCCAAAAGCCATTTTCTTGGCAACTCCTCTAAGAAACAGTATTTGAAGAGTGGGAGCAATACTTAAAAGTTCCACTTGATAGATGTATCATGTGTGGTTCATGTTTTAGAGGCTCATGAATTAATCGGTCTTGGGAATAAAAAAGAGGGGGCGGGGGGGAACCACCAAACCACAACCCACAGTCTGGAAATAATTTAAAGGGATGTGCTATACTGTGGACCTTCAGTTAAGTGTGTTGTATGCATGTTGTAACCTTCATCTCATCTAACATCACCCATTCAAGGACAGGAAAACATAGGAAGAAATCAATCTGCCCAAAAGCTTGCAGCTAATTAATGTCATTTTTAAAATCTATTACTTTATATATCAGATATAAAGTGTCGTAACACAAAACTATGTAAAAAACAACTGAATTGTGCAACATTTTCATATGTTAGTGCTAATTTCAAAATACTTTTTATTACTTACTGTATCCGGCACAGTAACTCACTTGCAAATTAGCGCACTTTCAGAAACGGGAAACTTTGCTATCCCACCATTATAGAAAAGTAGTTCCTGTAAACCTTTTGGTGTCAAAGTTAGCATGAAGATCTTCTCTTCTGAGAAGTCTAGCATTTTAAATTTTTAATTTGCAGTTCTGTTTTCTCTTTGAATAGCATTTTTGAGAGTTATTAAACTGTAAATATTAACCTGAATTTATACACTGTTTTCCTAGTTGCAAGTTCTGGTTTTGCATTTACATGAATCAAAAATAACTGAAGAGATGTTGGTTCAATTTTCCATCAACATACCGAGGAATATGGTAAAGGCAGACATGCAAAAGGAAAGGAACACGGTAAAGGCAGACACACAAAGGAAAGGAACACCACTAGTACAGGGTTGGTTAAAAATCATAACAAAAATGCACGAGAAGCCTTTATACACAATTTAAAATTTCAGTGAAAGTTTGCATTCAATGTTACCCTATGGAAGCTGTAAACCTGCAACAGCAGGAAGTACCGAGTGGATAGCATCAGTTAATCAAATCCAAAGACCTACTTTAAGTTCACACCCCCGTATTTATTCACATGCACCAGTATTTTCACTTTTTCTACATCTCTTCCATCAATATCAAACCCATGCTTATAATGACAGCTATTGTTCTCTTCATTTCGCATTTGCAATCAGGGCTAAATATATTGCTTACACTTAGACTTAATGGCAGAGTTGTGGTTACCATTCAACCTCCTCCTTTCAAGTCCCTAGTTACACAATATTCCTTCCATTTACAGACTCCTGCTGTTACCTTGGGAGTCTCTGCATTGGCTCGGTAAACGCTGTTTTCCAACAGCACCAAAAAAATCATGGTAAATAATTTTCTTTTTTTCAGTTCATGTTTGAAAGGTTATCAGCAACACAGTTAAAGTTTATATAGACAGTGGTGGTTTTATATTTTATGCACTGAATACTTCTCCTGGTATGCTGATCTAAGACATCTTGCTGCAACAACAGCAAAGTGATTCAAGGTAGTGGTGGTGTGGAACTCAGCCCTGGAGACACTGCATTCTTGTAGACCAGTAGACAAGACAGGTACCATCTACTGAGATTGAAAGAAATGTGGAATTGCTTCTGTTAATGCAAGTTTGCCAGTCATGGTCAATTTATCATGCAAGTTATCTGAAATAGTAAGAGATGGAAACAGAAAGCAAGCCTCGAATCTTCATGACCTACACCAGAGCATCTACATCAGTAATGCTCTGAGACAGACTGCAAATTAAACCTCAGCGTTTCCAGTAGTTTCATCATAACAGTGTTACACAGGCTTAGCAGCAGCTTAAGCAGACAGGGCAGGGTAGCCGGCCAAGTGAACTGAGCTGGCCTGAAGTCAGTTTTCTTCTGCAGCACAAACTGCAGGAGGAAGACAGAGGTGAACGCTTGTCACATCTACATCTCACACTATGCTTAAGAAATACAATTCTGTGTTTGCATTGTTTCAGTCACTGCTGTTCTCCAGAGTCTGAAAAGAGCTCAGCCTTTACCAAAAAAGCATTTTCTTAACTCGTGCTCTACTAAAAGAAGTGTATTTTTGACCACAGCTCTTCCCAGAGGAGGCAGTATAGAACTCGGAACCAGTACAGCTGCCAGCACTGTCAGACAACAGCAAAACAGTTACATGGTAAGACAGGAAGAGAAAGTAGCACCAGGTTGCACTATGGAGTACTAAGGCTAAAAAGAGAATTTTAATAGCATATGGTTTTGAAGTAAGTTATTTTGTACATATAATATACATTAAACAAATACATATTGACAAAGGTTGCAAGTAAGATGATTTTTTTTTCCAAACTCTTTTCACAGCACTGAACGTTCAGTGACTTTTAGACCTAAAATAAGATAAACCCTATACACATGTAGGTGTTCGTGTATTGTAAACTAGAACAGGCTGCCCACTGATCTTTTCAAATTTTCAACAGAAAGAACTGTTACCTTTTTTTTCCCAGAGAAATAACAATCTTGAGTTAAAAAAAAAAAAAAGCAAAACTCTCAGTTGATGTTTTATCTTGTTGTCATTACCTTGTCTTCTATTAACCCACCAGTACTGATTTATTAGTATTATGTTGACTTTAGGCTGCTAGGTTTTTAGATCAGGAGACAATATAACAGATTCAGTGGTTGTAAAGACCTATGTATTTTGGGAATCTGTGAAAGGACATTCAAATCACTGAGCGCTAAAGTACTAACCACACCAGCAACGATATTTGGTCTGTTATTTTTTTCAAATGTTGTAAATATACAGCAGTGTAACAAAACCTTCTGTTTAAGTGGCACATCCAAAAGCAGCAGGTCACTAATATGCTCCTGGAAAAGACGCAAAGTTTGTCCACTGTAGATAGCGTTGTGATCAAGTAACTGTGAATCCGTTACTTTCATCCTGTGTTGAAGGGCTCTTGTTATTTGCTAAATTTATTTTCGTGTTTGGACAGGAAATCATCTAGCTAACGGTATCTCTGATTTTATTTAAATCATTTCTTATCAAAGTAATCTTCCAGAAGCAAAGGTGATCTCCCAAAAGACAGCAGCTTTAGCTTTATAAGTTTATGTTCCTTATACTGTCCAAGACTTCATCATAGAACCAGGTTTCGGTAAACATATTAGAGTTTTGCAAAGCCTCAAAAAGATGTTTATAGTCTTCTGGGTATAAGTCACGTGTTTGAGCATTTTTGGGAATTTCTAACTCTCTGAGTAATTTGCCACCGTTGTCCAAGCTCCATGACCTGAAACAAACAAAAAATCATAACGGTGCATTTCTTTCTGTGAAAAATTAAAGAGCAAGAAACAGTATCTGAAGGTTCATTTCACTCTTTCACAGTTTCTAGAAGTTAACATCTTCCTACAACACAAGGTATTTTCAATCCATACTGCAAACAGGAAGAAACCTCTGCTAAGACATACAGATACCAAACAAAGCCCCCAGCAGACACAGGCAATACCAAACCCCATAAGCCTCCTCATTAGAGGGTGGGTGCCCTCTCTCCCTCCATCCCTCCCTCCCCCACCCCAACCACGCAAGTCATTAACAGGCCTTACAGCATAAGAAGGCGTTACTCTTCAGTGCACTGATCACTGAACGTATATAGCATATACATCTATAGCATGAGTTACTGTGGCTTACATCTCCCAGCTCTTTTCTTCTATATATAGCAGAGGATTCCACTATCTCCTCATCTACATCACTGCTATGAAAACTAGATGTTTTATAAATGTGCATATACATTAACTATTTCCCAGACAAGAAAAGGGTGTATAAATACAGGGAAGATGCACATCAGAAGCCTTTAGGGTTAGCTCCACTTCCTGCCCGAAGGATCGAGTGGAGATTAGGTAGACCGCTGAGCTTTAAGGAAGAAATCCACTAACGCTCTTCGCACTTGTCTTTGTTTAATGAGTTACTGGAACTCATTAGCTTCCCCCCCCGCCCCCTTTCTGGAAATTAACTGCCATAAACTACTACCAGCAAATGAGAAAGATATTAATTATTTTCATTAACAAGTTGAAGTCAGTGTTTTTCAGACTGCAAACACTTCCTGTTTATGGGAAACAGAAATCTACCGATCATAAAGCAAAGTGAATAGCTCCAATGTAATACCAAAAAGAAAGTTGCATAATTGGTAAATAAGTCTAAAGCCTAATTTTTTAATTAGATAACAGAAAGCCATTTGAGGACATCCCCACCCCATCTTCAATAACCTTCAGCCGTTTTCATTAGCGTTACTCCGATGTCTGTTATAAACTGAAACTCTTTTTCAGCTTTCAATTCCTGTATCTGCAAAATTCTTGGTGATTTTATTATTATGTCTGTAAAGTGAGTGAAAACTTCTTGCAGATATATGACCTCTCCTCCATCAGAGGTACAGACAGTTACTGCACATCTGCATTCTAAATACTTGCTGACCTTCCTGTCAAACCTCAAGTTTTTATCATCTTTGAATACAGGCCAGGAACAGTCCCCAAACTATTGTAGTGTGGGTTGCAAAAATGAAATCTTCTATTCTACAGGTAGATAATCAATTTAAAAAAAAAAAAAAAAGTTGTATTTCAGCTACAAATAAATACTGCGTTCAGAACGTATTTTAGTATTTTCCTATACTTCTCTGAAGTATAAAAACTGTAAATTCTTTTTCTTACTTACTTTAATTTATCAGTAAGTCTAGACTTAGGTCTAGCGAAACACTGTTTCACCATGAAAATAAAGGTAGATGAATTTGTGGGCTTCAAGCCTCCTGTAAATAGATTTTGCTGAGGAGTCAGTCGTACCAAACATAAATGGTCATTTGGCAGCCGCTGTAAGAAAAACAAAACAAGTCACTGAAAAGTCATTTCTAAGACAGTGTCTGACTTTAGCTAACAGTAAGCGTTTCATCTGTGTCCCCAGTAACGTATCTTAAAAAGTTTTAGAAGTCTTAACAAGATGGTTTCATTGGAAGCTGAGGCTTTAAAATTTTGTTCTAGAATGAAGATGCTTTACCTCCTCCACTCCCAAAACAGGAAAGGAAATAGGAAACAAAACAGACATACTATCACTTCAGTTTTAGTTTTATTTTTTAAGAATGAACTTCCTTAGTTGAAATAGACAATATAGGCTTGGTGTGACTTTTCAAGAGATTATATGGCCTATAGTATTCCTATACTATGCAAGGTATCAGATCAGATCACTTCAACTACTTGCCTTTTTTATATCAAGACAGAATTATTTGAGTCTAACACTAAGACAATATTGCAGGTTGAGGATTTGATTACATTGAGAGGGAGTGGAGTCTTTAACTGAAATAAATGTACTTCTGTATCGGCAGCAATGGATATATCATCCAACAGATCTCACATTTGTGCTTCTCCTAAGGCAGTCACAATACATCTTACACAATCCACCCGATATGCCTCTCTACATGGCTTTACACACCTAAGTGTGTAAGGCACACCCCCTCACTTACATTTACTTATAGTCACTTCTATTGTACACTAACATTTCAAACAACACTCAATAAACTACCGTAGCAGTTTTCTGCAGAGGGTAAAAACAAATATTAAGTATTCTTTTATATTACTGGTATTAAACAGAAATATTCTGCTATCATATAAAGGAACATCATTACTTTTCTCTTTGAGAAAAGTAAAGAACTTTACGCAAGGTATTTTTCCACTTCTCCAATTTAAGCTTTGAGACTCACACTTTTCAGCAATTACCTAGCACATGGAATCTACACTGGACATGTGAATAACCACTTTGATTAAAACCAGCAGCACACCGGTTGTGCTATTAATTGTGGTAACACTTGTTTTGTTCAAGCAGGTAGATGTGACCCTGTCAGGAACTTCTTTTGAAAAAGACACTACCTATTCACATCCCTTTATGCTGTTTATTCACTATATTTCTTCCATCATAGACAATAAAGACACTAGTTGATTTCAGTTTCTAAGCTAATAGCAATTCTTCACCCCACTTCTGATGCATCTATGTGCTGCCCATAAGTTTTAATTAGAAGAAAACTTCTTAAAAAATACATTAAAACTGGTTTAGCTGCATCTCCGGAAGTAGAAAAACGCACATAATGATCTTACCCTGCTTTTTGGTATCGCCAGTCCCCCATTTTTCAAATTAGTTACAAATGATGACCAAGGTTCCTATGGGAAAGAGCAAATATATTACAGAATTAAAGTGCTTTGTTAGAATAGACTAGACTATTTCAGTTGGAAGGGCCCTACAACGGTCCTCTAGTCCAACTGCCGGAGCAATTCAGGGATGACCAGAAGTTAAAGTGTGTTGTTAAGAGCATTGTCCAAATGCCTGCTGTACACTGACAGGCTTGGGGGATCGACCACCTCTCTAGGAAGCCTGTTCCAGGATTTGACCACCCTCTTGGTAAATAAATGCTTTCTAATGTCCAGTCTAAGCCTCCTCTGGTTTAGGTGGTGCTACAGTGAAGCCTAATGTAGTTATTGCTCACCTGGCCCTTTTGCTGACAGGCAGTTACATGTTCTAAACCTGTACATTTGTTGCTGTAAAGCCTTGGCTCCAAACAAGACAATCCCAAAGTCCTCAGCCGCTCCTCACAGGCCAGGCCTGCCAGCTCTGTCACCAGCTTGGTTACCCTCCTCGGGACGCATTCAAGGACCTTCACATCCTTCTGAAATGGTGGGGCCCAGAACCGCACACAGCACTCCAGGTGAGGCCGCACCAAGGCTGAATACAGTGGGATGATCTCCTCTTTTGCCTGGTTGGTGAGGCAGTGTTTGATGCACCCTGGGATGGGGTTTGCCCTCTGGGCTGCCAGGGCTCACGCTCCTGCTGAGCTGCTGCCCACCAGCACCCCCAGATCCCTCTCTGCAGGGCTGCTCACCAGCCACTCCTCTCCCAGTTTGTACTTGTGCCCAGCATTACTCCCTCCTAGGTGCAGAATCCGGCATTTGGACTTGTTTAATTTCATCTCATTTATCATAGCCCAGTGCTCCAATCTATCTAGATCCCTCTGCAAGGCATCTTGTCACTCAAGAGAGTCAGTAGCACCTCCCAGTTTGGTGTCATCAGCAAATGTGCTAATGGTGCATTCAACTCCTGCATCCAGATTGTCGATAAATATATTGAACAGGACTGGCCCTAGAATGGAACCCTGAGGAACACAGCTGGTGACCAGCCAGGTGTAGCCCCATTCACTACAGCCCTTTGAGCTCTGCCCTTCAGCCGGTTCTTCACCCAGCGCACTGTGAACCTGCTCATCCCACAGCTGGACAACTGGTCCAGGAGGATGCTGTGAGGGACAGTATCAAAAGTCTTACTAAAATCCAGAAAAACTACATCCACCACCTTCCCTTCATCCACGAGGCAGGTGACCTTATCGTAGAAGGGTATCAAATGAGTTAAACAGGACTTTCCCGTGGTGAACCCACGTTGACTGTGCCTGATGACTGCATTATTCTTTAAATGTCTTTCAACAGCACCCAGTATGATCTTCTCCATGATCTTCCCAGGTGCTCAGGTGAGACTAACAGATCTGTAGTTCCCTGGGTCTTTCCTCACACCCTTCTTGTAAACTGGAATAATGCTGGCCAGCTTCCACTCAGCAGGGACCTCCCCAGACTCCCAAGACCTGTGGTAGATGATGGAGAAGGGTCCTGCCATAACATCTGCCAGCTGCTTCTGTACTCTGGGATGAATCCCACCAGGTCCCACGGCCTTGTGAACATTCAGCTGATACAGCTGCTCCCTGGCAATTTCAGTGTCCACAAATGGAAATGCAGTGTTCCCACACTCGTGGTCCTCCAGCTCAGGGGACAGGGCAGGCCAAGGTCTGTCAGTATTACTAAAGACTGAGGCAAAAAACGCATTGAAGGCCTCTGCTTTTTCTTCATCCCTTTTAGTCCGATGACCGTCTTCAACAACTATTATCATATTGTTCAACTCCTTAATATTTACCTTAATATATACCTCATGGTATAAGGTATTTGGAAGACAATAGATAGTGAAACTTTTAATTTTAGATTAGCAAAACATTTAAACTAAGAAGGTAGGTTCCTGAAAAAACAGAGCACAGACAAAGATAAATCTAAAAAGCATAAAGTAAGTGAAAGCTGATGGTCATGTGCTTGTGTGGAGGTGGGAGGTCAACATAAAAAACTTTAAAACTAAACCATAGCATATTTGACAAGGTAGGATAGGTATTGATTAGCAGGAGAAGCAAGCCTGCTTGGAACACAAAGGCATCAAGACTCAAAAAAATATTTCTACCAAACACAGCTCAGGAAGTCGAAAGCATACATGATGGCAAAATGCAGATGACCTAACAAAGAGCAGACTATGACAGATAGGAAGAGCAGTCTTCTAGTCTCACACAACCCTTAGCAAGATGGAAAAGACTTATCTGTTGCACGAGCATCTCTTTCTTATCTACCAGCTTCTAAGAATACATGTTTTTGAGTACAGTGGCTTGTAATGAAAATACTGACATCATAGTTAATAATGATGCTGCTTAATTGAAAGAGTTTTACACAAAACATGACCATTTCAGGTTCTTACATCCAAAAGTTTTCAACAGTTCTCCAACGTCAAATTAGCTTCCAATTATTTTACTATAGTAAAACACTATAAACCGTTTTCTAAAAACACGTCCATAACATCAGACCATGTCAGCTGGTACAAAAAACTTACCATGTGCAATAGCTGAATTTCACATCCTACTTGCCAAAGTACTGTAAGTGCTTGGTAAGCCCTCACTTCCCCAGGCTTTGCTGTCAATACCTAAGGAAATGGCAAAGAATGAGCTTTTTTGTTGCAAAAACTAAGACTGCTTCTTTATTAAAGCAAAATCCTTTATATATATAACAAGTGGTAAGAAATTCATAGTCTAAAATTCCAATGTAAAGTTACATCAGGCCTCAAATACATCTTTTGTGCTATTTTAGTACATCTTGTCAGAACTCATGATTAGAAAACATTATGGCAGTCTAAGTATTTCTTCACAGCAGTTATTTAGGTAACTGAACTGCGTAGAAATTTCCAGCTTGTACTTTCTGGTCCCTTTTACGGCAGAGAAGTTTCACACAGAAGAGAAACAGGGATCATATTTTGTATAAAAACCATTACATGGGCAGAGTTATCAACGCGCACTGATAATATTCCCAATAAGACACACAAGCAGAGTAAGCCAAACATCAGGTGACCTCACTGAACATTAAGCAGCTTGCGCAGTCATCATCCTGATCATTATTACAGATCAGACAACTCTATAGGCAAGGAAAAAAGAAAAACTTGTGGTTATTCTCAAACAAGGCAAAGAAAGAATTGTAGCAGGGAGATTTAACTTCTCATAATAGATTTAGAGAGCCTCCTCATATGATCAACCAAAAAACCCAAAACAACCCCACAAAAAGTAACCAACAGTACCCACTAAAAGAAGATTCCAATTGCTTTTACTTAGGTACACAACTCTCATTTAACAGGGTTCACAATAAAACCACAAAACTTAATAGAAAACCACAGTGACTGTATTAAATGAATAGGCTGCCCCCTATTTGCTCAAAAATCTGGCCATTAAAAAGATACTATTTAAATGGATATTTCAGTGGTGTCCAACCTGTTGTTTCACAGAAGAATATACTTGAGACTTTCAATTTTTTTCAGTAGAGTGTTAGACGCAACGCAGGTTGTGTAAGCACACCTGGAAGTCTGCTTACTTCAGGTAATCAAAGACCCTGTATGTACCTCACAGTTTCACAGAAAAAAAGGTACCCTTGAACGCTAAGTACAGTTCTAGAGGTTTGGGTCAGCATACATTAGGAACACGTAACCCAGAAAGCTGCTCTGCACCTTAGTGTACAGAACCTTAATAAAAAGGTGAGCAAATCACTCATATTTTGCCTCAGTTTTTTTCAGTATTGCATACAAAAGTGGCTCAAGAGGACAAGTGCATCTCACTGAGTATCGTATTCAGTAACTCTGAATCCTCTTCATGAGGTGTTTTGAATTCAATGACCATTACCTGCAACTAGTAAACAATTTTGTTGGAAAAGCACATCACAGAATTTAAGCACCTCACAAGTTACAACAGAAAGCAGCTAGTCTGCAAGGACCAGTCTTCGCATTTGTAACAGCTGTGGTTATGTGACAACAGAATGTTTCTTGCCAGTGCTATTACTGCATAAAGAGAAGGAGCAGGAAACAGACAAGACTTAAAAATTCTGGCAGAAAAAGAAATTCACTAGCAAAAACATTAACTATACCATATAAATGCCTTTGTGTTCTGTGAAGCACTGCTTATTCTTTACTACCTGTAAAATCTTTAACACATACCTTGTACTCTTTTTCACTTATAAAGACGTTGAGTTCTACTCTTCCATATTTGTATATAGAACTGCATTCATACAGGGCAAAAAGAAGCCTCCAAAGTGCGTTCCTTTCCTTTTTTTGTTGTAAGATTCCAAAAATTTTCACAGGTACATCTGTTTCAATAGCATGTAAAAGTATCTTTAAAATTTTGCAATATGTACTAGACAATCTCATTCATGCTAATGTCTAAACTACAAACAATTAAGAAAAGAAAGTCTGTCAGGTCATGTTGTTCAACAATGAATACAATTCAAGCTTTAGTCAAAGCTAAGCCAGTTTACGTTAGATTAAACCTTTAATAAAGACAAGCAAATACCTGAGATTTCATATTGCCACAAGGGTTTTTCGAAGCTATCAAGAACCTAAATAAAGCTTAAATGTAGGAACTAGTATCCATCAAACTAGCGTATATATTAAATAGAACATATACCTCAAGCAAATCCCAAAGATTTTGCCCTATACCTCAAGCAAATCCCAAAGATTTTGCCCAACTGCCTTTCCACCCTTCAAATGTATTTGTAACATGTGTGATCGTACATATACCTGCCCTCCAAGGAACTGCTGCTACACCCATGGTTTCAAAAAGTTTGTCAGAACACACAGCAGGTGGTTTCACCGTTCCAGGCACCAAAGGATCCAGTCTGAAGAAGTCACCATAAATTACCTTTAATTGTCCATCCAGGCTATTCTCTAGGGACTGAATAAAATTAGTTTCAGTTGAAGAAATCTGGATGCAGTAACTTGTCTTGCAAAACACCCAACCCAAACAACAACAAAAAAATGTTCAAGCACTACCTAGAATTGTTACCCAGTCAAGAAGAGTCAAATTTCAGAGCTGCTTCTTACAGCTGATAAAGAGAGTAACTTCCTTCACTGTTCGGGGCACTTTGACATTTTTGTGCTGTTCAACTGGAGCTTTAAAACACGTTCTCTAAATTAGTACAATGTTCTGCAATGTTTTGCCAAAAAAGCTATAATCAACTAAGCAAGCCACTGCATTTTATGATTTACAACTGGAATTCTTCATGTATGCGAAGAGAATGCCTTTTATACACATTTCATTCAGGTGAGAGTCTTTGGTTCCAAATGTCTACTTTACAGCACTGTAACACAACCCTCCCAGTGCAACTTCTGCAGCTTTGTGTCTGACCATCTTTGAATCCACGCAAAGCCAAAGCGAACAGGAGAGGGCAACACATGTGTTTTAGTATTACCAGTTAATTGCAAGACAATAGATTAAATAATACCATGAGATACTCAGAATAACCAAGACTATTTTTAGAGATTTCTTAAAGCTACAGACAGACATCTTGCTTAAACATACACAACTACAATGACTCTGATTAGTATTAGCCTCAAATTTACGCACGAAACTATTCATAGGTTATGAACTTGAATTCCTACACACACAAAATGTCAAATCAATTGATTATAAAATACTCTGTTCCTGAATGTACAAAGTAAAACTAAACAATACTTACTATCATGAAGTGTTACTTCAGATGTTACAAGTAACAATCACTGGCTAATTCTTTTTTGACCCAACAGTTATTACACAATTGTAAGTTAGTTTCTTATTTTCCCTTTAATTAAGTTTTAGAAATGTGTTACCAAATCAAAAGCATACCTGTAAGTTTGGAAGGAAAGCTAAGTTACTTTCTAGAGCTACCACTCTAACACCTGCATTGAGCAGAGTTCGGGTCAAGACTCCAGGACCTGAAGGGGGAAAATGAAAAAAAAATTTAAAAATGTTTTTAAAAGTGCATTTTTTCTAGGTGATTTCCTTTAGTGATTTTCCCAACACAACAGTTGGGACATAGCACCTTCAGAGGAGGTAAACTGTGTTTGTTTAACCACACTTCAAAACAAGACTTTGAAAAAAAGATTTGCAAGCAGCCTGCCTGAGATTGCTCAGTGAATTACAGTAAGCACAGCATTACAATTAGATAGAATGTTTCAAATATTTCTACTACTTTTTCTTCTGCCAATTGAACTATACTTTGAAACTTTATCTAGATTATCTCTACAGGTACAATACCCTCTGCAGAAATGTAAAAATATCATTAAGCAACTGCAGAGGACTAGCCGTGTAATGGCTCGCAGTCTTAGCCGTGCCTTTACTGACAGAGATGAAGCTCACCTACCAACCCCAAAACATTACCTGGACAGAAATGTACATCCCTGCTTACCCTATAGCAAAGTTTAACACCAGTGATTCAAGTCTCCAGGCTGAGCACTCGCTCATTCCCTCCAGAGCTCTGTATAAACGGACTCCCCCGCCACCCG